ATAGGGTATTTTTAAAACCAACTTTGCGCGATTTGTATCCTAGATCACGTGACTTAAAGCAAATACAGTCTGTACAATATATGTTTAGATAAAATTCCAAGAAAAAGAATAACCCAATAAAGTTCTGTTATTGGAACTACATTAACAATTTATCGCAAATGTCTTTCTACCTCGGATGTCGATTTACCACGGCAGAGGCGTACTTTGGATTTTTCCCCAGTGTCTTTCTACCTCGGGTGTCGAATGCGGTTAATTCCAAGAAACTGACGCAGGGGTCTTCTTGGAATTCTATCTTAACAAATATCTTACGGACTGTAGCTCCTACTGTTACAGTTGGAGAAGTGCAAGTTGAAATCAGTACAAAAATATGCACGTATATACTTTGTATACATATATTCCATTCAAATATTTTCAATATACAGGGTGTAACTAAATAAGTGTAAAACATTTAAGGGGGTGATTCCTCATCGAAAAAAAATAGGATCTTTCATATAAAGAAACTTCATTGGAGCATCCCTTGTTAAGATACAGCCCCTTAAAGGGGGTACATAAAATTTGTTTAACAATTTTTTTCACAAGCACTAAACAAGTTACAATATTGAAATTAACCTGACATTTTCTACTACCAAAAAGACACTTAGCCAGTAATTTATTTGGTTTACCCCATGGTAGTAAGGGGTGGAAAACGCAACCCCTAAAATTTATTTCCAACGTAATTTTTTGTCTTATTATTTTTTTACCATTTAAAAAATTATTTCCGATAGCCTGTTTCATTCTAAAAAAAAATGTCTCTTGAATTTTTTGCCCAAATTAAACCAGTTCGCAGTAAAAAATTATTTTACGAACAACTACAGAGATACATCGTCATAAATGCGGACTGGATTTACTGTTATTTTGTAGTTACTACCTGCATTAAATGATTAAAGGGGAATAATCAAAACTAATTTAATAATAACAAAACATACAACATGTAGAAATCATAGTAAATGTTCAATATGTCTACCTTCAGACATTACGCATGCGTCTAGACGTCGGCGCATTGAGCCACGTATTCGCTCAAATATTCCTGGAGTCTCTCTAATTACCCTGCACGCATCGATAATGCGGTTTCTTAAGTCCTCTACATCGCGAACAGGAGTACGATAAACCAAATGCTGCAAATGGCCCCAAGTAGACAAATCCAGAGGATTGAGATCCGGGGATCGAGCGGGCCAATTCTGTGGTCCTCCTCGACCTATCCACTGATTTGCATATGTTTCAGTTAAATGCTGACGTGCTACTTGACTAAAATGGGCGGGAGCCCCATCATGCATAAAAACCATATCCCTTCTGACGCCCAAAGGAACTTCCTCCAGCAGTACGGGGGGATGCACTTTTCTTAAAAATTGAACGTATGCCTCACCATTTAATCGAGGAGGTAGAAAATGAGGCCCAATTAAATAATCCCCAATAACTCCGACCCACACCTTAAGAGAAAACTGTTCTTGATGGTTAGTTTCGACAATAGCGTGATGGTTTTCATCAGCCCATATGTGGTAATTATGAAAATTAATAATCTTGTCCCGAGAAAAACTACATTCGTCTGTGAATTCGATCGTCTTCAGAAAGTCACGATTTCTTCTAATCATTTCCAGCATCCAATTGCAAAATTCAAGACGGTTCGGAAAGTCTCGCGGTAACAGTGCCTGTACTCGTTGCAGATGGTAAGGGTATAAGAGATGTTCCTTTAAAATTCGAAATACCGTCATATGATCAACATTTAGCTGGAAAGCAATCTTTCTAGTACTGGTAGTAGGTTGTTCTTCTATCAAATTAAGTACTGCTGCCTCAAGCTGTGGTGTTCTTACTTCTCGATGGCGACCACAATCCTGCGTTCTTTTGTTGAATGAACCATATTCACGTAATCGTTGATGAAGTCAGACAAATATTCTATGTGAAGGATGCTGCCGTTGAGGATACATTTCAGCATATCTTGTAGAAGCTTCTAACCCATTCCCCTGCGACAGACCGTAAACGTAATGCATATCAGCCATTTCCTCATTTGTGTATGCCATTTTAATAACAAGTGAATTATTAAAGTAACAAATTAAGAACAGAACAATACACAATTAGTATTACTTCAATTTCAAAAATTTACAAACTGACAGCTTGATTCCAATTTAATTGTCAGTATCGCTAATGGCGGCCTACTAGATAAATTAGTTTCGTATTTTCGTTTTATGGCGATATGTATCTTGTTCGTAAAATAATTTTTTGCTGCGAACTGGTTTAATTTGGGCAAAAAATTCAAGAGACATTTTTTTTTAGAATGAAACAGGCTATCGGAAATAAATTTTTAAATGGTAAAAAAATAATAAGACAAAAAATTACGTTGGAAATAAATTTTAGGGGTTGCGTTTTCCACCCCTTACAACCATGGGGTAAACCAAATAAATTACTGGCTAAGTGTCTTTTTGGTAGTAGAAAATGTCAGGTTAATTTCAATATTGTAACTTGTTTAGTGCTTGTGAAAAAAATTGTTAAACAAATTTTATGTACCCCCTTTAAGGGGCTGTATCTTAACAAGGGATGTTCCAATGAAGTTTCTTTATATGAAAGATCCTATCTTTTTTTCAATGAAGAATCACCCCCTTAAATGTTTTACACTTATTTAGTTACACCCTGTATTCAAAGAAAAATTTTCCCAGGTTCCAGCTATGTATTACATTCAGTTCACGTTGTGTTTTTATATGGTTAGTCAGAAGTAGCCATAAGTCTTTCACACGTTTGATCCAAGTTTCTCAATAATGTGTGACAAAATGTGATAAAATGAACGTAGGTATATACTAAAGTAGGTATATACAATATCGGAAAGTTATATTGTCTCCACTTCATCCTTTTTTTTCTGAGCTTCTATCCAATAATAATAAATCCTGATATAAAATTTTCGACTTCGATATAAAACTTATATGAGTAATCTAAGTATGTTTTATAGTTTTCACACGTATTAAATGTAAGAAATAATCTGCACTGGTAGCACTAGATGGACAACAATAAACGTACACAATAATAATAATAATAAATCCGTTGATTCTAAGTGTCCTTTGTATAAAGTGTAACCTCGGTATATCATTGGGGTGGTTTGAAACGCAAAAGCCTTACTCTTATTTACTACTCTTATTGTATAAAAATATAAAAACTTTCGCTAGGAACGTACTTTAAATAAGCTTTACATGTTATTAAAAAAATCCATAACGATTAACAAATCTACTTCTGGTAAATTAGAAGAATCAGCTTGTACGAAATTTGCTTCTATTTTATTAAATTTAATATGCACAAACGCTAAAAAATTCTGTACAAAGCAGGAACTCATCTGGAAATAGCGCCAAGCCGGCTGACCGTCCCATGCGGTGACGTCATTGCATTGTCACGGCTGAGACAATTTTAAAAATCATATAGTTCGAAAACCGCTCAACGGATTGAGTTGAAATTTTCAGGATCGTCTAATTATGAAAAATACTTTGTGTATACAAAGTAAGAACGTATTTGAAAATTTACTGAATGACCCCATTGTTTCGGCACAAACGCTTAGATCCATTTATTTTCATGTTTAATAAGAAAAATCTTATTAAACATGAAAAGAAATGGATCTATGTATAAAAATACAGGCTGTTACAAATTCGTTTCTCACTACAGGGATTTCGGAAACGGTAAGAGATACAAACTGGCTTAAATGGGGGCAAAGTTGCATAATCAGAGGACTAACATTATGCCTCTAAAAAATCAAGGCTAATATGATTAGTTTTCGAAACATTTAAAGAAAACCGACATTTTGGAAATCCGTTTTTGTTTCTTTTCAGTATTGTTTGAGGTGATACTGAAAAAAGAAGAACACTTTCCCATGGCTACTTTTTTCCCTCTATCGAACGGCATAATCAATTTTTATATGTAACGTCTCGTCTCTGCAGGACCATCATCAACTTCATTTTTAAATACGACCCTGGGGATTTTATTGAATTTTTTGCAAGCCCTAATGACACCCAATACTGTACTGCCTCAGCCCGAACTAGACGTTTTGTCTCGAAAAATTAATCTTCAATGTATTCGTTCCAACTTTATCTAAATTTTTTATTTAGATTTCTATGTTTATTGAATTATCGTACACTCTAAGTGTCCTTAGCCCCTGTGAAATCCACCTAGTTATTTAAACTATTACCATCACCTGGTCATATATAACTCGATAGGTTGTTGCGTCAGAATTAAAACATAATTACAAATTTAATTTCATTATGACAAATTAATTCTTAAAAATGCATATGAACAACCAAAACTCCAAATGAATATTATACTTTAAAAAATTACAGTAAAAAAAACGTTACTGTTTTGGCAAATATTGAAAATGAAGATAAGCCTAATATGATCGGAATTTATTATAACTGCAACTATGAAAGAGTATGTCAGATGTATTTGTATGTATGTCAAGAAAAAAATTAGATCGAAATTTGTTTAAATTTTGAGCACTCGAGAAACCTAGAAATAACTATGAGCACGGGATTAAAACTCTAATAATGTTCTATTGTACCATATGATGGTAATAGTGTAAATAACTAGGTGGATTTCAAGTCGATGATGGTCCTGGAGAGACGAAACGTTACATATAAAAATTGATTATGCCATTCGATAGAGGGCAAAAAGTTGCCTAGAGAAAGTGTTCTTCTTTTTTCAATTTCACCTCAAACAAGGCTGAAAAGAAACAAAACGGATTTTCAAAATTTCGTTTTTTTCAAATATTTCGAAAACTAATCATGTCTTAATTTTTTATAGGCATAATGTTGGTCCCCTGGTTATGCAACTTTGCCCCTATTTAAGGTGGTTCGTATCTCTTAACGTTTCCAAGATCCCTGCTTGTATATAGGGTGTTCAGCTATCGATGAGCAAAGCGTCATCGATCAATTTATACATTTTTCTAGATATATAAATCTAGTACCTATAAAATGACGCTATACATGCAGTATGCTTACCACATTATCCACTAATCCTTTTCTTGATTGTCTTAATTTCTTCAAATATCCAAAAACGTCAAATTTGTCTTCCTCTTCTGCCAATTCCATATTTGCATCAACTGATAAATAAACACCAGATCTTCCACCACCATCGCTACAAAAAGACGGAAATTCCATGAATTCCATTATTTAAATATCTAATTTAATTCATATACAGCTTGTTAGCATTATTTTACAAAAACCAGACATAAATGTGACTTGTTACTTGGTTAAAATTGCACATACTTTTGGGATGCCCTGTATAACAAAATTTTTTAATCTTACATTTCCGTGAAAATATGGTACCGTTTTCAGAATTTAATTATTATATTCAGTAGTTTTCAAGAAAAGAGTTTTTCTCTTATGTTAATAATTCCATAACTTCATATTACAACACAGTATAGGTAGATTTGAAAATAATAAAAAAATTGAAAAATTATTGAATCGTTCACTTGACATTTTTTACCGGGCATTGAGGTTAAAGTTACCAGACATAAAATTAAAACAAAAAATGTGTTATAATATGCAACTTACTTGCAATGCACAACCATGGGGCCAGCCTCATTAGATTTTATGACGTGACCAACTACAGCTCGTACTCTCCTTCTGAATTCTAAAAGGGCATTCGTGAAGGGGCACGAGTGGCTGTGCCATTGAGTGTAGTGGAACTGGAGAATAGTCCTATCTTCTGCTATAGCCTGCAACCATAGACAATTCAGATTAATGGCAATTATAATTATGCGTATCTACCGGTAGTTAAAAATTACGTAATTTACATACGGGATGGTGAGTAACTCTGGTAACAGGGTGTTTCATTTTTTCTAGGCCTTTTCTAACCTAATTTTTTTCAAATTAGGTACCATGTAAATTATTGCATTTTTAAATTTCTCTTTGATGTTAAAAAAATTGACGAATAAAAAAACACCTGTTAAATAAATTTAACGTAGGGTTCCAAGTTATTCATAAACCGAACATTGGAAACTGTAATGACCATAATTACTATTTTTCTATTTTAAAATATCAAGCAATCAATAGAATTTTTATGTTTTTCCATTCTTGAATAGTGAAAAGCTCAACTTACTATCATGTCGTCAGTTCTCAAAAATTCAAATAACACTGAATTTTGCAAAAATTAAATTAGATGACGCCTAGAATAAATAGGACAATCCTCTGTAATTGAAAATAACTATAACATTTGTAGAAAATAGGACTCATAAATAAAAAGGAAGCATTTGCTTAAAGTAAAGAGTAAAAGTTAAAGCAAATATTTCAACGTACAAGATTGCAGCAAAAGCATTTGCTTCATATTATATGAAATGCTTTAGATTTTGTAGCAGTCGATATTCAATAACTGAGATTATAGCGGATTGCTACCAATTGAATATAGCCTACAGGGTGAATTATGAGCAGAAAATGTAAAAATTGTATAAATTCGGATTCGTATAAAATGGATTTACATAACCTCAATTGACATATTTTCAAAATTGTCTCTCCAAATTGTCTGTTATTATTGGGGAAAAAAATTAAAGTTCTAAATCCTTAAAGGCCAAATTATTAAAGTAAGTTTAACTTACAGTTAACTAACAATAGGCTTAGAATGTGATTTAATGCAGTTAAAACGTACCGACATCAACACATTCTAATCTTCCAGTTAGTGAACTGTAAGATAAACTTACTTTAATAATTTGGCTCTAAGGGATTTAAGTGGCCCTTGTTGGTTAGTAAATTGATCATATTTTATTTGTGGTTTTTCAAAAAATTAAAAAATTTACTATCACAAATCATGCAAAGAGTGTTTTGACACAATATTTAGGTTCCGCTTAAATTCGGGTAAATTATTACTAACTATTTCTAATTTTATAAATTAATTAACGCAATTAAGCATAATTTGACAGATTTTAATGCACGTAATTTTATTTCAATTTATGTTCAAATTTCGGTTATTTATAATGCAACACGGATAAATTTGAACTGTTTTTAAGGGTGGTTCAGGACAATAAATACGTTTTTTCTAGGAAACTCTCAATGTTATTGACTTGGAAAAAGATGACTTTAATGTAAGATTTTTTAATGACTTTTAACAATAATCTATTTATTTTTTCGAAAAGCCTTAAACAATAAAGTAAAACCATGAATAAAAAATTATTTTCTTCCCCCTAGGTGCAGTTTGTTACTAATAATAAATCTGCTGAATTTAAAAAATATATATTCTATTAATTGCAACGACTTTGAGGTTATGTAACCCCGATAATATGAGTTTTTGCAAAATACTTTTATATTCATCACTATAATAAGGGTATTTTTTAATTTCAGCGATTTCTGCAACAGTACTGCAGATAATTGGGTGTTTGCAAAGTGTTTGGAACTAGCTAATGCACTTGCTCGTTCTTCTGTTCATACATGAAATGATTAGCTAGAGAATGTAATATTTTCTTCATAAAAACCGAAGAAGTATTTATAACTGATATTTTTTGATTCTGATACGATTTAATGATGTCATATTTCTCACATTTAGATGTGCTAAATCAAGTTGAAGCCTGTTACTGAAGTACCTACTTACATATAGGTAACTAGGTTTATTCATATTAACAGATTTTTTTCTTTATACTAAAGCAAATGTCTGTTTCTACGTATGAAGTAAATGCTTCAAAATATTAATCAAGTTACTGAAGGATTCGCTTCGAAAATATATAGTAAAAGTTTTCGCCATTTTTATTCATTAGATCCAATAATTTCGCTGACTTTTATTTAGGTCACATATTTGTATTAATGATATTATCAAAGTTACAGAACAATCCGTCTTACATGGAGTTTCCTATATAGAGTTATCAGAGATGTAAAAGCAGCTAAAGTCACAAAGCTATTTATTGAGCAAACCGGTAGACTGCAAACTGTTCATAGCAATACCTAAACTATAATTTATTAAACGTTTTAAATTTATTGGTCCCTCATTTTGAATGCCTCGTGAAAAAAATAAACGTCCTAATTAAATCATCTGTGATATATCAGCTATTTGTTTTTAGTGTACTTAATTTAAAGAAATTATAAGCTTTAGTTTTGGAAATACTGACCAATATAACAAAAATACATAATTTTTCCATACTAGATACTTGAGAATTAATTTTTCTAAAACGAATGGGCAAACATATATACATATGTATAAGTGGTAAAGAGTTCACAAATGATTACAAGTCACGTGATCAGTACTTTTGTTTGGAACAGTAATTTTATTTCCTTCACGTTGGCAGTGATTTAATAATTAAATTTATAATAAGCACGATTATCTTGTTAAATCGAGTATGAACATTCGCGTAAAATAGTTTTAATCTTTTTCTTAACATTAACTTTATTATTTTTCTCAGAATATCAGAACCTTTTATAATATTAAACATATACTTATCGAATTACGTTGGTAAATCATTCCATTTAGAATATACAGTGATAATACAGCGAATAATAATTTTTTAAGAATACTCTTAGTTTCTTGAAGAAAATATTTTACAGAATCTAAGTGGATATACATATATTACTTATACCAAAAATGTCATTCAATTCATAAATATTGAATTATCCCTATATCTGTAGGTAGTCTTCATAAATTTACATTTTTAGATATAATAATACCCAACTTAAAAAAATGTAATCAGTTCGATAAGGTTTTAAAGATAAGTTGAATTTTTTTCACAACATTTCACGTGTCAAGAAATTTGATATAGATAATAAGTTCTTTACCAGGTAAAAGTAATCTTGAACGAAGCAACTAATTGTGGGAATGTACTATATCTGATTAGCTATAAGCCATAAGTTATAGTTTTAGATCTGAAATTTTTAATTGTCATATTTCCCTGAATTATCAACGATTAGTTTGACAGATATTTGTTAGTAGCCAAATATTCAATTGCTCTTCCCACACTTGCATTATCGAAAGTAAAAAAATATTTCCTCAAACGATATCAATTTTTGTTTTGATGCATAGACATTAATATTTTTATATGAATAAAGTAAAATACTAATACAAATATTTTCGTTTTTGGAGTAAGAAATAGTCAAAAATAAGTTTTCATAAACAGATCCCTTTGACGCAAATTGCTGTGTATTTTATTTCTTTTGCCAACTTTGATGAAATCGATAAATATTACACAGATGTCCAGAAAATACATATACCTATAATGTTTGATAAGAGATTCCTTGGCTCAGAATAATCCTATTCAGTCCAACTTATCCATATCTAAAATAGCTTAATTTAGCCGTTAGAAATTCAAGAAAAATTTGCATCTTTCTTTTTGGAATAACTCAAAAATGTGGCCCATTGATTTTAATCATTTTCGGTATATGAATTTCAAATGAAGTTTTTTAATTCCTCCCGACATAATTCGAAGTGTTAAAAAAATGGTACAGGAAAATATCGGCCAATATATTTTCTTTGCTACTTATACAATGGCTACACAGCAAACTCTTTTAACTTTAATAAAATTATTTTTTGGACGAATAATTTGGACATAAAAAAAATTAAACGTAATAAATTTTCTGCCTTAGATTAGAAGAATATTATTACCATGCCATGACATTAGGTTTATGCGTGACGGCGCTTGCCCATTTCTCTCTAGTTATAAGAGTTATTGAATTAACAGTATCCCGACCGATTGATAGGAAGGGACAACTGTCCACTTACAAATTGGCCGGTTCAGTCACCGGATTTAACACCCTGTGATTATTTTTGTAAGGTACCTTGAAATCTATAGTTTATTCATCTCCAGTTGACAGCGGAGTTACATTGATGAATTGCAAATGTAACAGTTTCACTGTACAATGAAAGATCTTTCATTTAAATTTTTTACGTCAAATTAATTTAAGCAGTAAAGAGTACGGCAGTCATTTTGAACACCTGTTATAAAATTTTTATTTTTATAGTTCATTAGACTTTCCAAATAAAGTATGCTATTCCTAAAAAATCATTTGAATATTGACAATTGAATATTCTAAAAATGGTAAATATTGATGAGCACGTTTCTGAGTTATTTCGAAAAAAAAAAAACGATAAGTTTAATGAATTTTGAAGTCCTCTAGCTGCTAATTTATATAATTTTCGATAAAGCTAAGATGGGCTAAATAGGATTATTCCCAGTTTTGGAATTTCTGGTCAAACTTTGTACATATGCCCATTCTTCTGTCACATAGGTTTTTCTTTATAACATCATAGTTATTGTTTGGCCTTGATACTTCAGTCGAAACTTAATAAATGATAAAATATAAGACTTTTTTGAAGTACTCGTATCAATTTTGAAATGCATTTCTTGTGAAATGGTTTTCTCAATAGAAATATTTTCATAATGACCAATTGACTTAATATTTCAAAAAATATCGCAGTACTACTACAAATATTTGATATCGTTGATGTAATACAAGAATTACATTGAAATATAAATTTATGTGTCCAAAGCATTCCTTCCATCCAAATGCTAACAACTTTAATTTTACGGTGATATATTTTGCAACGTTAATGCAAAACAATTGCCTCCATAATAAAGTTTCCGGAAAACCGACAAATGCAAATATCACTCATAACTCATGTTTCCTTTCTTTTTATGTAACCGTGTATGGAAATAAGCCAATTCGTATTCTGAAATATAAATGTATCCATTTTTAAGAGACACTTGGAGAAGTTTCATCTGATGGACTTACCTAGAAGTAAATTTTTTATTCTCTTTTATTAAAAACGGAATTTATTCAATTTATGCAAATACTTTAAAATAGGAAGAATGTTATCATGATAAAATTTATCATAAATATTTTTATATCGTTCTGAGAGCTGACTCACGTTTATAATTTTATTATTGATTAATTGATTCTTATTAACCATATTTCTGTATATCTACTAGGAGATCTATCTCAATATTTATTAAATATTGAACTGGCTGAGATACATGAAAAGCAGACAAGAGATATAGATCGTTTTGGAGATACTGACGTGGGTGTTAGTGGACGTTTGAAATGTTTTTTTGCTTCTACCCTCATCACACAGTTATTACTAAATGTGTGTATTTACGACAGATTAATACAATTTGCCTGTTCCGTTTATGAGTATAAATCAATTTTAATTAAAAACTGGTTTTGGTCCAGTTACGCATAGGTATATTTTCGATATATAAAAAGTGCCCTTTAGAAAACATTGGAAAAAGAGTTGACACTATTTTAAAAAGTATTATATTATGGTAAGACAAAACTTTATATGCTTTGAACACTAAAAATATATGGAGTAGATAATAATTCTTCTATTAATAGAATACTATTATTGAATATACTTTCATGTGCAATGTGCATATTAAGTAAAACTTCCATCGTCAAAAAATATTTAAATGAAGAAAATGAATTCTTATGCCAGAATTATTCAGGTGTTGTTTTTAACAATTAGTTCTCATCAGTAAGGCATAGGTGGAACGACCAATATGATTTCAGTGTGGATGAACTGTAACAAGATATGTGATATACAACTACATAATCTTAATTGACCTACTGACACTAATCTATAGTTTTTCTTGTCCACGACCTTTATACGTTGGGTTCAGTCTAGTGGTGTTTTGAAGTCTTTGAACAGTGGATTGCACTGTTCAGGAGATCTTGATTTGAATAAGGCCTTTTGAAATAAAACAACATAAATCAATCTACAGTCAACGAGAGCAAGTAAGATACGTCCGCACCCGCGCTGTGCAAATAACCACAGTGAATTTGATTTAGTTATTGCATTGCAATTAAGCGGAGCAATATAGGGTCGGTCTGAGTTTTGCGTAATAACTATTGATTAATCTTCTGGAACACGTGGCACTTTAGACCACATGAAAATTGTGTATTGAACGCGCTTATTTCAGAAACATATAATGTATAATGATTTGATTGTTCTTATGGGGTCTGTAAAATTGGTCCCATTGATTAACTTTATAAAAATTTTTTACAGTGCCCTTTTGTTAATGAATAGCTCCAAAGAACCTTTTAAATTTGAATCTTAAGAATTCGTTTTGATAATATGGAAACTTACTTCACCCAGCTCCCCTTTTACGATATTTTTCTCGCTCTGAAATGTACTTCTAGCTTTAAAGCTTTACAACTTTCAACTTTAGTTTTGTACCTTAAGATTTAAAAATAAAAACATAGTTAAGAATTAAATCTCTAAAAAGATTTAAGTTGTGAAAATAATATCAGTTCTGGATTCTCTTCGAATAGTTCTACTATTTCATACAAACCGCGTCGCTCTAGCCTTTTTAGTTGCAAAAATAACGAATTTAATTAATATAAGCAGTTTTTGAGAATTTCAAAACAGGGAGTCCTGGTAAATATAACGGCAGCTCTGCGTTGTTATTGAATAGCTCTACTATTTTATGTAAACCGCGTTGTTTTACCTGTTATAGTTATGAATTTAATTAATTTCAACAGTTTTGGAGAATTTTGAAACACGAGTTTTGGTTCATTATTGTATGCATACCACGTAGCTCTAACTGTTGTAGTTGGGGAGATTTCAAATTTAATTAATTTAAGGATATTTGCTAATTATTGAGAAGGGGAGCCCTGATAAAAATAGCGCTTCTGCATTGTGCTCAAATGGTTATAATATTTTATGCAAACCGTGTAGCTCTAGCTGACGTAGCTGCGGGGATATCGAAATTAATAAAAAAAAAGAATAAATCTCATTTATTAATCTTATGTTAGAAAAATTTCATACATTGTACATAAAACATTCAAATAAACATATTCCTCAAATAATTTTATATGAATGAATGATAAATCCATTAAATTATTAACACCGAACTCCAAGAATTTATTTTATTTTATTTACATACACCATCCGACAGTCCAAACCAATTAATGGGGTGGGAAAAAAATAAATGACAAAAATTTCATACATGAAAAATATACACATATAAAAAAGTACCTGCTCACATACAAATGCATTAAAATTTTTAAAATGAAAGGACATAAATAAAATTAACAATTAGTACAGTAAGTTGCGTCTGGAAAAACCTTTTTGATATGCGATATACTGCCTGAATCCGAGAATGATTATTGTCAACCATTGTGTATAATTTTAATAAATTCGTTCTAGGAGTAGCAAAATAAAACAAAAGCGAGAAAACGAGGACTAGATTGCAGAGCGAGATATATGGAACCTTTAATCGGTTAACAAATTGTGGCAGTCAATTAATCCTGTAATAATTTTATGTAAAGTAAATGCATCATTAATTATATTTACGGGAGAAGAAATCGTCTTAGAAAAGTATCATATGATATTCCTTGGGGTGCATAATAGTAATGCACTGAACAGTAATGGCACTTCTTTAAAAACCAAGGTATGCTTTACTTTGAATATTATTAATATGTTATATTATATTATTAATTGAAATTAAAATTAAACGTCAACAGCCGTATAATTCGATATAATAGAAGTATGTAATTCTCCTAGTAAAGGACATCAAATTACACTTTGAGAAATTTAAAAGTAATTCGTAGTGTACGAATAAAATATTTCATCCACATCTGCTTGAAGCAGCATTAACTTTGTCACAGACAAATATAATTTAAAAGCATCGGCATAAAAAAGAGCGTTACATTTTAGAATTCAAGTGATATTGTTTATAAATATTATTGTTTCTTTAAACAATAAAGGCCCGAGGACTGATCCTTGAGGGACTCCAGAAGTAGCGTTGATATCTATTTAGGCCGGAACAGGATCTTCCGCCGATTCTATTAATACTCGTATTTAGTATTATAAAGTATATTTTACCACAATTTAGTACTGCTTTCTGTGGTAATCCCTTAGGGACGGCATTTGATTTTTTTTCAAGGGGTTTTGTTTTATTTATGTATAAAAGGGATATATATTAAAAATGGGTGTCGAGTATATAATCTATGATTAATTTATAATTCGTTATTGCCCAAATCTCACAACGACAGTAGTTTGAGTGACATGTTGTGCATGAAATAGTAGAACTATTTGAGCACAATGTAGAACTGCTGTTATTTTTCCAAGAACTCCGATTTCTTAAAAATATACCTAACTATCTTGGGTACTAAGGGGCGTAGGCGATTTTTCTTTTTTTTAAATGACCGTAAAAATAAGCTCTACCTATTTAATGCAAAAAGAGCTAATTTTACGCGTTTTACGTCCTATTTTGTTAGTTTTAAAAGGCCTATTAATTACAACATTTTGAATTTTCTTGTTTTTTCAGAGAAACGTATCGATTCTCTCTCGATCAACTAGAACCTAATCTAAGATATTAACTTCTAAAATTAAATTTTAGTAATTAAACAATTATTTGCAAAAAAACAAATGAAATTAATTAACAAATACCTGGAGCAACAATTTCACGGTCAATCGAGTCGGTCTTTGGCACAAGTGATGATCTTTGGATTGACCGTGTTTTCCATAAATTTCATCGCTGTTTGCAATAATAATGCGCAGTTTTCGAAAACTGTTTTTTTCGCATTCAACCTTTATTTTACAGTTATTTTTCGGTTTTTTAAAAGCTTATTCAAAATGATAGAGTTATAGTTTTCCGGTATAAATGAAGTTTATATTGACAATACGTGGTTCCGAAAATCTGATTCCATATGAGAATATAGCAGCCAAATTAGACTTAAAAAATCATGCAGTTTCGCGCAGCTTCTGAAATATATGTATCAGAAAGACGGTGATGCATCAAAATTTAATAATCTCTCTAAATCGGATGGTGCTTTCCGGAATAACAATATTACGGAATATAATTTTAAACGCGCTCTATATATTGAAAAATATGTTTTTATGTAGGGCAATTGCGTGAGTTATAAAGTTTCCGGAAAAATAGACGACGAGTACAAATAGCACACATTACTCACATCTCCCTCTTTTTTGTACAGCCTAAACGTTCTTATATGGAAATTGGCCAATTCCTCTTCGCTGACGACTTGGATGTGGATCCCCCCGTAAATTTCTTCAAGCTCTCTGGATGCTGGCCAATATTGAACGCACATAACCTGAATAGAGGATTAGATCAGTTTGAAATTGGAGCGATTTGTAAAGCGCTTATCTCACCCTTATAAAATCGAATGTTTTCGTTAACATCACTATACAGCTAGCGTTCTCTTGCCAGACCATCCTCCAAAAATCCGTAACTGTCTCCTCTGTGGGTCCCTGGGTTACGATGTAGGCATTCGGTTTCAACAGACTCTGGAAAAATGATTGTGGTTATTTCTCGTTTTTCCGCTGGACAATATAAGTGAAATGTGTGTGTTCACCGTAACAAGGAAGAAATATTATACACTATATAATATTAAGGGATATTAAAAAAATCCCAATATTTTGGGTGATTTTCAAAGAGCTGTAACTTGGAGCGAAATGGTCGTAGAGAGAATAAAAAAAGGGAATTGAAGCTTCAAGTGTCTAGTTTTCGGATCTGGAATTTAAAATTTTTTATCGTGAGCAGTTTCTGAGTAATCATAAGAAAATCAACGAAAAAAAAATTGCAAATTTTTGCCTTTTCTTTAAAAGGCATATGGACTTCAAAAATTTTTTTTGGTAATTTCACCATAAAGCTCTTCCAGATAATTTAATTCTCTTCAATTTGAGCGATTCCGGAGCCTTGTACAATGATTTGTCGCCGAGTTATCGTCGATCAAAAAAATCATTTTTGACTTTGGCAATCGGGAAATGATGGTCGTACAGAAAATTCAGGCAGGGACTTGAATATTGCAAAGTATTCTCTATAAGACGTAATTATTATTTTTTGATAAAAACATTTTTATAAAAGTGAAAATGTTGGTTAGAAAAGAGGGAAAATATTGCATAATTAGGAATATTTGAATAACTTGTCATAACTTTCAAATAATAAATAAATTAAGGATATTGACTAACTTTTCAATTTCAAAGTGTCCTATGAATCCTTGATGATTTCAAAAAAATGTTTGTTTAATTTTTTTTAGAATTATGAATGCTTTTTAGGAAACTTTTTAATCTCAAAGTGTCCTAAAGAAAACCTAATGATTTCAAAACGCCGCGATTTTTTTTTCTAAGTGCCCGGAATGTTTAAATTTGTCGTTTTTGCTGAAAATCAATGTAATAAATAATTTTCACTTTTTATTCATTTTTTTAAGTTAAATATGTTTAGCAATAATTCCTTCATAAAAACATTCATGACTAAAAAAAATTAAAAAAAAATTTTTTTGAAATCATCAAGGATTCATAAGACACTGAGATTGAATTAGTCAATATCCTTAATTTATTCATTATTTGAAAGTTATGCCAAATTATTCAAATATTCCTAATTATGCAATATTTTACCTTTTTTATCAAAAATTTTTTTTCAAAGTGAAAATGTTGGTTAGAAAAGAGGTAAAATATTGCATAATTAGGAATATTTGAATAACTTGGCATAACTTTCAAATAATGAATAAATTAAGGATATTGATTGTAACTTTTCAATCTCAGTGTCCTATGAATCCTTGATGATTTAAAAAAAAATTTGTTTCATTTTTTTTAGAATCATGAATGTTTTTTATGAAGGAATTATTGCTAAAAAACAATTTTAACTTAAAAAAATGAATAAAAAGTGAAAATTATTTATTACATCGATTTTCAGCAAAAACGACCAATTTAAATATTCCGGGCACTTAGAAAAAAAATCGCGGCCTTTCTTTAGGACACTTTGAGAATAAAAAGTTACAGTCAATATCCTTAATTTATTAATTGCAAAGTTATGTCAAGTTATTGAACTAATCTATAATTATGCAATGTTTTATCTTTTCTTTAATCAACATTTTCACGTTGAAAATTTCTTTTTTATCAAGAACCAATAATTACAACTTGTAGAGAATACTTTGCAGTTTTCAAAACTGTGCTTGGATTTTCTGTACGATCATTATTTCCCGAGTAATTGATTGCCTAAGTCAAAAATGATTTTTTTGCTATGATTGACTATAACTCGGCGACAAATCATCGCACAAGGCTCTGGAACCGCTTAAATTGAAGAGAATTAAATTATCTAAAAGAGCTTTATGGTGAAATTATCAACAGAAATTTTTTGAAGTTCATAGACTTTTTTAAAGAAAAACAAAAATTTGCAATTTTTTTTCGTTGATTTTCTTACGATTACTCAAAAACTGCTGACGCTAAAAAATGTTAAACACCAGATCCGAAAACTAGACACTTGAAGCTTCAATTTCTTTTTTTTATTCTCTCTACGATCATTTCCCTCCAAAGTTTGGGATTTTTTTAATATCTCTTAATTTCTGTGGCTAGTAGTAGTAGTAGTATTGGAAATCCTATGCAATTGGTGCTATTGAAAACTAAGTTAACTGTGAGATATATTTTTTTACAAAATTATAAATTAAACGGGGATACTCTTTAATATTTTGAAAACTAAGGTTAGCTGTTAAGGAAATAAATATAAAATGCCTCTATTTTTGTTCTCAGATTTATTGAAATTAAAATTTGTGTTCTGTAGAAAGACCATATTTTTTCAAGTTCAAATTTGAAATTTCGAGTTTGAACATGAAATTCAGGTCCAAACATGAAATTTTAAAGCCTTAACTTAAATTATAGAATGCAATCTAAAAATGATTTACCTCTTGCCTCGCAAGAAAGAAAATTATGCAGTATATTTTGGAAAAAGGTAGGTACCATAAACTCAACGACTGACGAAACATCAAAAAAATATATTTTTGTTTTCAAAATACGAGTACAATCAGACAATATTTTCAAATCAAATTTTTGATATATCTTTTCAAAAAAAACAATATAATGCATTGAAATTTGGTACAGTTTAAGTTTTTAAATGTGTTTTAGTATATTTTGAAGGTATGTACTTAGTTAATTATTTTTGTTTTTTAAGTATTATTGTATGAGGACGAGTATACTTACATCAACATAGGACGCGTTTACATAATCCGAATCGTGTTCGCCTTCTATGGTTTCTAGTACTACTCTATTATAATCATCTGAAAAAGAAAAAAAGATTTAGTATTTATGATATATCGAGTACATCTGGTTCATCTATGATTTAAAACAAGAATCTGTTTTTGCTGAATACAATAAAGTTCATAGATTGCCAGACTGTAAAAGAAGATCATGATTCTTGAAGAATCTGTTTTTGCTGAATACAATAAAGTTCATAGATTGCCAGACTGTAAAAGAAGATCATGATTCTTGAAGTTTAAAAGTTATCTTTTCCTATAAAATCCACTAGGGAATAAAAACACATTTAGAGACCATAAAGTGTAAGTGATTTTAATGCTGGAGTAAGTGGAGTAATAGACGAACTCATGGTTTTCTTTGGAGAAAATGAAGATGAGAAGAAGAAATTTTTCTTTATAAAAAACTTAATACCTATATAAACCAATGTTAGTCTGGGTACAAATTATAGAATCGAATACCACTCTATCAATTAAGTTCAAATTTATTTATGTTCAACATTACTGAACAGGTTTAGAAAGTTTAAGGAATTTTGAATACGTGGCGCTGTGCATTAATACCATACAATATTGACAACTATATCTGTGGAGTTATTAGCTCTTGAAGTTAAGAGTTGAAAATGAAGCTACATTATTTGAAATTATTCCTCGGAATATATTCAATTTGCCAGAGACTTGGGGCAAAGCACTTTTGACTATCTTCACACAACAAAAAATTGCTGCGTCCTATTCAAATTTCGCCTCACTTTCCAATCTGAGTTACAAAGCCGTCTCCAACCTATCTAAGCGACCACAACCATCTAAAGAGGAGAACACTGTAGGACCTCTGCGGAACCATCATAGGAGATGTCGATCGTCAACTCTGTTATCTTACAACTCATTAATGTACGGATGGATATAGGTTTCCATAACATGTACTGACGGGGCCTGTACATGAACGTTTCAAATAATTCTCCATGTGTATTATATAAAAAATTTTCAATAAATCCAGATATTTATCATTACAAAATAATGTTGTTCGGGGCACAGATCTCATCACACTGGTCAAACTGTCTAGGAGTCTCTGAGCGCGTGATAAAGATGCCACAGGATACATCAAGCTCCAAGAAGCTTCCCGATCTAGGTGCTCTAAAGAGCCTACAAAAATCAAGCTCCATGTAGCTTCCAAAAGGTATTCTCATGGGTGCCCAAGAATATTTTAGTATAAAAAGGCTCAGTTGAAAGACTCAGTGCCATCCTGCAGTGTGGTTGTAGGCAAAATAACAGAGAGGCGTGTTCTACTCTCGTCAGGTTCAAAACAGTCCAGAATTGAACTAGGTAGACGAAGCTGTCATGAAAAGTACCGCTAGATAGGTGATGATAGGACAACTACTTCTTCAGTTTTTGTTCAAACTGTTTTAAGTGAAAAATTTAGTTTTTTTTCTGCTGTCTTGAACAACTTTGTTATTATAAATATTAAAAACCTAAATTTCATGTCATGTTATCTCACCGAAGCGCAACTTTTTTTTTAAATATATTATTTCCACGGTGGTGTTCTACAAAAAAAATACATTACTTATTTTATTAAGGCCTCAAATAAAGAGATTCATTGTATCAAAAGGAGTAGTATAGGAAAATAGCTAATTTAACATTAAACATTTTTTTAAGTTAAAAAAGATTATAAATCAGTATAATGGATGGAAAAGAAACACTGAATATTTCCGTTTTTTTTCTTATTTTGCTCAAACGGTGAATACCTACTGGTCGGTAATATTATGTCAAAAACGACAACTAAAGTTCTTTATAAGTAAGTAATTAAGATGTCTCAGCTGATATGCCATTTTAATCGAGTTTTCCCTGAATGGAAAATGTTTTAAAATGTACCGGGTGGTCGGCCATAAGCGTCATCTCCTATATTCTCTGTTATTACTGATTTTCACTGAAAAATGGAATGCAGGTACATCGGGTTGGAACAAAATTTGTTCCTCTTTTGCTGATCGAACAACAGAAAGTGTGGACGTTTATTGGCAACCCCTTGAACAACCCAATGACGATGAAACTTCATTCAAAGGATCGTAACGCGAGAACGAAAGACCCTAAGGAAGTTAGACAAGCCGGTGAAGAAAGAAGAGAAAAGACAAGAAGAGCGCCAGACGAAATGCCGTGCTGGCGGGGGTCAGCCAGGACAAAAGGAGGTTCATAAAGCGCCTATACTGGCTACATCGAGGTCGAAGACGGATGGGGCCCACCTTCACGAGGCTGTCCAGGCCTACAGCGATGAAGCAGGAAAGAGGGATAGACCCTCTCGGTCTCAAATAATTTAGGCCATAAACAACGTCATCAATAACGGCATGGGAGAACGAAAGCTAGGTTTACATTGGGATAACAGTTCAATCATCACAATGGATTGGCACATTAGTCTCGATCCGATGTCAAAGTGATGCTCATTGTTTTTTTCGACTTTAATGGAATTGTGTATTTTCAATTGTTGCCTCAAGGTGAAACAGTGAACCGACGGTACTATCACTCATAACTCTTAAGATTAAAGTACAATGTTAGGCTACGATTCGATCATCGGTTTCAGTTGGCGACAATCTAAAGCTGGGTAAAACCCATAGAGGCCAATTGTCCTGACCTGACCTGAACGGTCCATTTTTAATAATTCGAAACCTTGTTAAAACATCTTTTCTTGCAAGCACATTGTTCCAGATCTAAACTTCAGTTCTAGTACCCCATCCACCCAGGCATTGTCCAATACTGTGGTGAAAATCCCAAGAGATAAATAAGCTCCTAGAAACCTCCCAAAACTAATAAGTACTCATAGAAGGCCTACAAGCGTCTGTTGAGGTTGGCGTGATGAGGGAGGCGTCCGAACAACTCGTTTGCCCTTTTACAGGCGAGCAAGAGACGAGAGTTTGAGGGAATTATTACATGAATATCGAAGGAAATGAAGGATGCGACTTTTGAGGGCCACCTTGAACCTATGCTCCTTCCACAAGACAACTCAGGAATGTACTCGTAGTTACGATATCTTGTTTCCACTAAGATTCCCTATATCTCTTCACAAGAACACGGATACAATTAAATATACACCGAAATTATACCCAGACACGATAGAGGGTAAAGGCAATCGGCTAACAACGCCATCGTGTCACTTCAGTTCCAAATAAGCGGTGCGTTTGCATTAACCGACCTCGGAATACACCTTAGCAGTAAGATATTAAGTCCCCTTTCTCCAACCGCTCATCTGTTTCGTCTACAAAGACATTAATTACACCCCACCCCCACCTCGTTTTACGGGCGGTTGGTCCCTTAAGCGCCCCAATCTCTGTAGGAGTCACAAATTTAATTATACCGGCATTCTGACGGATTCTATTCAACCGACAAACAAGATAAAACTTATTAAAATTCCCGACACAACGGACTTAGACAATTAACTTAATTTTATTAATGGTAGGTATACGATCTTGCGTTGTTCATTCTCTAAAATATCGCAATTCTGAGACACGATTGCTGACGGCTTAATTTGGAGTGTCCGTAGAGGAAAGCCCCGTCACTACTCATTAGATCCACTGTGTCCGAGTAATGGCGATTTTTATCAGTGATTGATTAAATCGGGTGGAATTAAAAGGTAGTTTTTGTTACGTCTTTAGTTTTTCGATAACGAACCTTTCTATGTGTCTCATTCACTGAAATGGGAGAGGTAATTGGTAGCTCCTGGAAATTGACTGTATTTTTTTCTAAATGTAATTTAAGGCAAAAAAGATAATTAATTATTTTTGCTGGAAGCAAAATCTAGTAACTTTTTATGAAACAAAAAATTGTCATTTTCCACATGTAACACATTTTTAGTAACGTTATGTTCCAATCAGCAATAAGACGTGGGACTAAAAGGTGTCGATGTTGTAGAGTGTTAACAAAATTGGTATCATTGAACAAATATTAAGTCACTAATAATCCTCAAATTGGTTAATAAATTACAGTTCTATTTCCTACAATTTCTTGGAAAATGTATAGAAGTAAACTTGACCAATTTCTCAATCTAAAACGGATTTTATAGTGAAAGCTTTTCTGATAAAGTTTTTGGAATTTTCAGAATATGAATTAGCTTAATATCTTACTAACGTAAGTAAAGTAAAAGTACAACAGAGAAATAAGTACGAGCAATCCAAGTGAAGTAATTTGTTTTTTGCTATCCATATGTTATGTAAATTCAAAAATATAATAGAAAAATGTACTATCAGTAGTCAAACATGATGATGGTTCCACGTTATTCAGTTCCCTATAAAATATAAAATCAACAAAAAAAGGAGACAATATATATAATATGAAAACAATATAAGAGTTTGTCTACGTGTATCAGAACAAATAACTAATTCTCACTAGCTATTCTAAACTCTATTTGGAGTGGATCAATGAAGCCAAAAGATTTAGAAAACGATTATTCAAGGTCATGTTAAACAGGACTTTTTTAAATGATTAATTTGTAAACGGATTTCTTGATGACGTAAAATCTGAGTTAAAAATGTAAAAGAACATAACATATCTGATGGAATAATTGTAATGTTACCAGATTGTCAATGATTCAAGTCATCTATTATCGAACCAGTACTGGGGCTACCAAGGTGTTATTGATATAAAACGGATCAATTGATAACTGAATCAAAGGAAGATCATTGGACGAATAGTCAAACGGATCTGGGCAGGCCAGTTTTCTCATAGATGCCCGAAGGGCTGAAGCAAATTGAAAAGTTTGTTTGCTGAGCAAAATCAGCATTATGATTATCTCAGGACTTCTAACGGGTCACGAATCTCTAAACAAACACCTTAATAGAGTATGTATAAGTGCCAGTCGAGACGCAGGTTATGTGGACTTGAAGACGAGAATTTCATACATATCCTCTGTCATTGTATTTGTTTAATGGTAGAAAACACACATACCGGGCGTAGCATCTATGCCACCTCTGGACATTAGAGAGATTCCAGTAGAACTAATACTTTCTTTCGCATGAAACATGGACCTGTTTTAAAATAACTCTTATTAGCGG